CCCCCAAAGGGTTAAAAATATAATGTTCGTTATCTTTGGGCTTCATTGTTTCTACTCAGCTCTCTAAGGATTTTTTGTGTGTGGACGTTAGCCATGACAGAATGCGCGCCCAATCTTCTTCAGAAAAAAATGCTACAATGTTGAGGTAATATATTCACAAACGTCCTTCAAGAATTCAGTACCTTGACAGCTAACGCAGGATGACCGAACTGTCCACATAACTGCATTAGAATTCTGTAGCACACCTACAGGTTATCAAAAATAATTAATAATAATTATGATATTGATGACGATGAATGAGATGATGATAATAATGGTAATGGATGATGACGGCGCGTGATCATAGTGATGATGATGATGACAATAATAGTGGTGATGGTGATGAACATAGTTATGTTGATGATGGCAATGATAACGATGGTGATGTTAATCCTGGTTATGTCGACGATGGCAAAGATGGAGATAATGATGATAAAGGTGATGGTGATGATGTCATGATGGTGATGATGTCATGATGGTGATGATGTCATGATGGCGATGATGATGGCGATGATGATGGCAATGATGGAGATAGTGGTGACAAAGATGATGGTGATGATGTCATGATGGCGATGATAATGGTGACTATATTGATTGTCATCATCACTGCTATGATCATCACTAATAATCATATTGTCGTCCAAAAGATGATCTTCAAAACCTTTCAATATCATACCTCGTCGGGTAACTTGACACCTTTCTTCTCCATTTTACACAGAATCTTAAACAAAATATCACAAATAATAAGAAAATTTATGATTCTTTATTGATGTCCGATTGGTTGGCTACTGTGTTTATATCAGAGAACAGAGACACGCTCGGGCAAAATCGCTTAAAAATATCTTGTAAAAGCAATAAAAAACGGTTATTTATGTTTCTGTACTGTGATGTAATCACTCTTGGAGCTGTAGAGCACTCAAGAAGCAAGAGAAACACTGGGCTACATCTGGTGTTCTAAGCTTGCTTCTCTCTTGCTCTACGGCTCCCAGCATGTTAATATTACACTACAGAGACATGCGCGCACGTTTTATATACCTTAAGTATAGGGGAGGGGGCATGAGGGAAGGATAGATGGAGGTAGGTAGTAGGGAGAAAGGGAGGAATTAAGGAAAGAAGGGGGGAAAGAAGGAAGGAAAGGAGAGGGGGATGAATGGATGGATGGATGGAGGGAGGGATAAACAGAGGGAGGGAGGGGGGAGGAAGGGAGGGAGGGAGGAAGGGAGTGAGGGAGGGAGGGAGGAAAGGGGAGTGAACAGCAATACCACAAAGTAGTTCTTCATCCACTGGATATAATGGGGATAATTACCTCGTAAGCCACATGCAGTACTTTTGCTTTGTTATGATGACTTTTGACATAAGCTGGTAAGTGGATGAACCAAAGACTGTAACAATGTGCCAACAAGCATCTAGAAAACAATAACAAAAAATCATATACACTTGGGTTAAAATTGAAGTCTGGTATATAGTTTGAAAGACGAGATTGAAGAGGGCAAAAGGAAAAAAAGAGAGAAAACCTTTGATAAAGGTGAACAAGAGGGAGTTATAAAGCTTAGGGATTGGCAGAATACTAGAAAAGTGTCGATAAGCATTCCGCTACGCGTCGTGCTTTTCCCAACACCTCTCTCGCATTCTGCCAGCCCCCGTGTGCTTTATGACTGCACACAGCACACACGCGCGTTTTTTATTTCTTCATTATATAATAGATTTTCACGAACGCGGGCTCTGGTTGGCTGGAAAAGCAAGATTTATTATACCTATTTTATGAATGAGAATATAGAACAAGAATATAATTATAATGGTTATCATTATAATTACCTCGCCCACTGCACAGGAATACTTTCATTCTTCTTAGCAATCTGAGAATAAATTACAAAACTCATTTAACTTTATCTCGTTTTCAGTCTTTGATATTCAGTATTAAAATAAGACCTCGATGGTAAATAAATAAATAACTTTCGCTCCAAGTGGAAATTTTCGCGGTAAAGAAAAATTGAAGGGAGAGAAATTGCAGACGTTCTTCAACTGGGAGGATTGCAATAAAAAACCCTCCAAATTTTCTTGACACCAATAAACAAGAATTGTGCTTATCTTTGTATGTTAGGGTTTTTGGAGGGAAAATTGAGAACCCGAAAAAAAACCCCTCAAATCAAGGGAGAGACACAACAAACTCAACTCACATGTGATGCTTAGTACAGAAATCAAACCCAAGACCCAAGATGCGGGAAGTGACTGGCAACTGCTACACCAGCCTTGATTCCCATTAATCAAATGCAATGGCCCATTTAACATCACGACTGGATGTGCCCCAGAATACAAAGCCATTAAAGCATGGTTCTCACTGCGACACATGCGCAAGCACAAGTATCAACATCTTTTATCCTTGCACTTGTGCTTGCGCTTGCGTCGTATAGTGAGGACCATGCTTAATAAACACTTTCTTACCAGTATAGACTCTGTTCGCTCTGCCACTGTTCTGCCCACAGGACAGAGGGATGGGGTCACGACCGTCGAAATTCCTAACGATAACTCGTCTTTTTTGAATAATTCCAGGTTCAGCTCGGGAAACGTGGGATACCTGTTTATAAATGAAAATAAGAGAACGTTGCACTGAATAGGTGACCATTGGATTTGACCTCTTTAGCTTGGTCATAATGTTTTCCAATGCAAGCTGATTACAAGGTGCCCGGTTTATTTTCATAAGAATAAAAACCTCGTCGTGAAACGCTTGAATGCGAGGCTTTGCAGGGAAAATCGACTTGGCTCCAGCATGAGAAAGGTCTATTTCAGACCACAAGTCATTCCCTTGAGTATCATTTCTTTGTTTAACGGTTAATGATAAGACACATGAATATGGATACAACTAAAACAAAGAATCTTATTTTCAAAAGAATGACACCGTCTGAAATAGAAGGGAAAACAATATTCCCTATATGCTTATAGCACCCCGGCCCCCCCAATTCACTTACGTGTATATCTTTCCTCTGTCGATAAAGTTTGCTTCCGGGGGAGTAACGACGTAAGTCCTTTGGCCACCTCTGAAAGACACACAATTGAAACAACATAAAGAAATAATTCCAAAACAGTTTGTCCAAGATTCTTCAGAAAGTATCCTTCAAATCCTTCAAGTAATCTTTCAAATTTTATCAATACCCTGAGACGACCTCTGGGCTGATCTATGTCAGGGCACGGCTAACTCACAGATCGAATCCCAAAACGACCTCTGGGCTGATCTAAGTCAGGGCACGGCTAACTCACAGATCGAACACTGAAACTACCTCTGGGCTGATCTAAGTCAGGGCATAGCTAACTCACAGATCAAACCCTGAAGCTACCTCTTTGCTGATCTAAGTCAGGGCATGGCTAACTCACAGATTGAACCCTGAAACAACCTCTGGGTTGATCTAAGTCAGGGCATGGCTAACTCACAGATCAAACCCTGAAACAACTCTGGGCTGATCAAAGTCAGGGCACGGCTAACTCACAGATTGAACCCTGGGTTGATCTAAGTCAGGGCATGGCTAACCCACAGATCAAATTAGAATTTAGCTCGTTAGGTTTTGCGGATACTTGAGATTCCGGAGAAAAACCCTAGAATCAACATAGAGACCTAACGAACTCTACTCACTCAAGGGCTTTTATATTGTCCTTAGAAATGGGTAGGTTTCAAAAAATAACACAAATTAAGTTATTAGACGACAATGAAGGATAAAGAAAAAATAACGTTACTCACTGTTTAAACGATTCATCTATTTCTATTAATGGTTTACCAGAATCAAGCTAAAGACAAAAAACCAGCAATTTCAATATTGAAATACAGAATATCGCAGAATACAGCTATTTCAAAAAGGTTGAAGAGGCGAACGGCGATAGGTACTATAAGTGATAGGTTATTCTAAGATGCAAGAATAGTTGGAATGACTTGCATTTCTTATCATTATCCTTGTCGATAACACAGATGTTGTTGTTGAGATATTTAGTGTTCACGTAGTCGATGAAACCATTTCAAACGCCTGTAATATTCGTGTTTGGATGTGTGCCAGCTGTGCCTTTCGGTCGTGCAATTGCCAATCACCGATCATCATTTGCCGTTCGACCCTTCAACGTATTTTGAAATAGCTGTATACATATGGGGGGTGGTTGGTGATTGCGACTCTGTCCTGTTACTGCCTGCTGTCACATGCTCGTCTTTTCTTTCCTTTCGATTGCAATTTGTATTAAGCGTAATGTGTGTTTTTTTTTTTTTTTTTTTTTTTTTTTTTTTTTTTTTTTTTTTTTTTTTGGCGAAATCAATAAGATAAAAATAAATAAAATAAATAAAAACCTTACTTTATCAGTGCAAGTATCGAAGAAAGCAAGAAGAGAGTCTTGTGATGTCACAAATGACCGCTGCTCGATGAAACGACTGAACATCTGAAAATAACACCAAAAAAATTCAATACTAAATTGGCCAATCTCCAACGTCTTTGGGATTCGTGCAATTCCAGTATTTTAGCCTGCAATAGGCCTTATCAGCTTGGACAAAATGTTTGCCCATTTCAGACCACGTCACTCTCTTGAGAAAAAGATTCTTCGATTGCATTGTAACTATATTCATGTATCTTTTCAACCGTTATGAAAGAAATGATATTTTAAGGAAAGACACGTGGTCTGAAATGGGAAAATAATTTGTTTTCAGGAACAGAAGGGTTGTGTGCTAAGTTTTGAGGTTGAGTGATTAGCAGAGTCGCACGTTTTTTAATCGCTTTTTTAACATACCTGTGTGTGCATTAAGAGGTTGAAAAACTTTTGATGGTTATTTGGACGGCTTTTAAGAAAACCTAGAAAATAGTGACAGAGTAACGAATCAATAGTATTATATAACTTGGATAGTATGCGCTTTTTGATTGGTCGATACTTGTGCAGTATGTGCCTGACCGCGCGCTCTGATTAGTCGACAGCTTAAAAGGAGTGTGGGACGTTCTTGAATAAAACTTGTGAGGAGTAAACTTGCTCTCCACGAGTGTGCATTAATGTGACAAAAAAGGTAATTTTGGGCATAAAGGATAGCAAAGAGGTACTGCACTCGCCTCTTACTTCTGGGATTTTGGGTCGATTTCAGGACTCAGCATCTTATTAGAGTGGAGTTTATTGGTCTCTCCCCTTATTCAAGGGGTTTTCACCAGGTTCTCCGGTTTTAGATCGGCCCAGAGGTTGTTTCAAGACGTCGATAAAAATTAAAGTAGATTCGGTTAGGCATGTATGATAGCTTACCTTGCATATCGAACAGTGATGTCATATCGCAGGTTCCTTCTTTCGGTGCTGACGTAATGGGTTTAAGATAAGAACTAGACACAAAATACAACTGAGATTAGCCCTGTTTCCAGCTGTATAGTTAAAAAACATCATGTTTATAAAGTTAAATGGAAGGGATGGAGGATGGATGGAGGGATGAAAGGAGGAAGAGTATCAATGGATGAATGAATGAATGAATGGATGGAAGGGATGGAAGGAGGAAGGGAGGAAGGGAGGGAGGAAGGAAGAGATGGAGGAAAAAATATGACCTCTTCTAGTGAGCTTTCGATTGTAAAAAATAACTAATTCGTTGAAAGTACAAATAAATGCATTCTCACCCATAGCCTTTAAGGATGGTTGCCATAAACCGCAAGAATGCCTCTTGAATCGAAACTTCAAGCGCAAGCTGAGAAAAGAATTTTTTGTTAAAAGATCACTATCTGTTGGGGTAGGGCTCCTACATATTACTTTTCGTATGACTGGGAAACGACAGCACATGAAGTACAGAAAATACAAGGTACGACAGACCAGTAGACTAACATTAAAATGGTTTCTGGACAAGTTGCTACACTTGGATATCGCTTGGATCACATGAGTGATGGTAAAATGCGTAGTCGTATCTCACCGTAACCGAATGACTACTTGTTGTTAGTGGATGACTGGAAGACAATGGGAAGCCATTTCAATATTATGACATACCGCATTACGTCATGTCGTACCCACTCAGACGAAACCATTCTTTTGGGAAGCCATTTCAATGTCACGGTATGTCGTATCGTGCCATAAGTCAGTACCGTCTGTTTCCCACTCATACGAAAACCATTCTTATGAGAAGCCATTTCAATGTACCGCATGTCCTACCACGTATGTGCTGTAAGTCAATACCGTCTGTTTCCCACTCATACGATAACCATTCTTATGGGAAGCCATTTCAATGTTACGTTATGTCCTACCGTGTACTTGCTGTAAGTCAGTACTGTATGTTTCCCACTCATACGATACCTATTCTTATGGGAAGCCATTTCAGTGTCTGCATGTCGTACCGCGTATGTGCTGCAAGTCAATACCGTCTGTTTCCCACTATACAAAAACCACCCTATATCAAATATACAAAGACAAACATTCTAAAGGTATTTACCCGTCTCCTCGAGTGAGAATTATCGTGATCCAAAGGAGCGAGTTCAATAGCTGTTTCTGTAATGTCTGCCCCAAATGCTGTCAAGATAAGTTAAACAAAATTAGACGTCCTTTTCTTTCAGGATATTGGGTAGAGGACAGATACAGGAAAGTCAGAAATAGAGGGAACAAGCAAATAATGATGTTAAAATATTGGATTGGGTTGCCTGTGTTCCTCAGAAAGCTAGTCCATGGTCCCACCTTAGCATAAATAAGCACACACACGCTTAAGAATTCCTCTCCTTTCTTTCCAAATTGATCTATTGCTGGGTTTTAATCAGCTGATAAAGGTCTTTGAATCTCATTATCTGCTTCAAATGGTGGTCAAACACTGACTGCCATGATCATGAACATTCTGCATGAGACAGATAATGACGTCAAGCGAAACCCAGGAATTTAAAAGTTATCCTGCTTGGGAAACTGGCATTGGATAAAATCTCGTTTTCTACACTATCACAAAGACCTCTGTCTCCCCCGTAACCATACTTAGTATCGTCAAGCAACGCTTAGACTTTACCCTCTTTCTCTTTATGATACTGTTGGTACATTTGGCAATACAGGTCAGTCAGCCTGTCTCTTAGCACTTTGCCAGGTTTCTGTAGGAAAAATAGGAGAGTCAATTGAATGAAATTACAAAGACAGGAGTGTTGGTATGGCCGGTGATTGAGCACACGACCTCCTATACAACAAGCCCATGTTCAACCCATTTAACAGACTTGTGGTCTAAATATAGAAATATTTTGTTAAAACTGAGGATAGAGTGTTTTTCGCAAACATGTAAGTAGAAAACGTTACGGCAAATTTGTAGTTAGTCTTTTACTGTAGCCGTTACTAAGCGTTGTGATTGGATGAATTAGATGAATTATTAAAAGACAATGGAAAGCCAATTCAGTGTTATGTCATGTCGTACCGTGTACGTGCCGTAAGTCTGTACTGTAAGTTTCCCACTCATACGATAACCATTCTTATGGGAAGCCATTTCAATGTTAAGGCATGTCGTACCGTAAGTCAGTACCGTATGTTTCCCACCCATTCATACGATAATCATTTTTATGGGAAGCCATTTCAATGTTAAGGCATGTCGTACCGTGTACGTACTGTAAGTCAGTACCGTATTGTTTCCCACTCATACGATACCTATTCTTATGGGAAGCCATTTTAGCGTCTACATGTCGTACTGTAAGTCAGTGCCGTCCGTGACTCACAAAAAAGAAAACAGCTCTAAGAACTAAAAAACAGACTAAAGAACTGATTGATATAAAGCTAAGTTGTTTAGAATATTACACACCTTTGGTAGAGACTTCCAGCTGGCCGGCTTGATTTCACTTGCACTGGTGAATCCAATGAAAAGGGAATAAAGCATAAGTGAAATAAAAAATACCATTTTTTGTGCAATTAGTCCAATCAGAATCGAGTAAATTTTCCATGTATATTATTGTTTACTATACATCACTGAGTACTCACGAGACTTTCAAACCGTTTTAATAATAGGTATCTACTCACAGGGAAACCATATTGGTGTCCAAGTCGATACAAGTGACGTCATCAGGAGGGTCGTACTGGTCGAAGTATCGAGAATCAATACCTAAAGATATAGGAATACCATCAACAGCAAGTAAATACTTTCACTAGTGATGTTTGACTGAGTTCCCAGTACTTATACCATTCACGGTTCCGACTCGAACAATAGTCAATAGACAATAGTACTGGTCGAAGTATCATTGGGGAAGCACCGGTGGCGTGCGCTGCTAATGCGTCGCCTCTCACCAATGCCCGAGTTTGAGTCCTGCCTGTATGTGCCTGTATGTGAGTTGAGTTGTTTGTTGGTTCTCTCCTGTGCTTCGAGGGTTTTTGTCCGGGTTCTCCGGTTTTCCTCCCTCCTCAAAAATCAACTTCTAAATTCTAATTCAATCTTTGGGCTTTCACTTAGTTTGGAGCCTAGCTCTGTTGTGATTGTCCCACGCTGTGAGACAACAGCGAAAGCTTTGTAGATAGATTTTAGATAGATCATGAATCAAGACACAGAAATTCAGAAAGAAGTTTTGAGGGTGCTCTATAGAGGCTTTGCACCATCACGTGATGGCAGCCATGTTAGATGGCAGGAACAATACAATCGTTTTACATGAGAAAAATTCAATTCCCGAGAGCAAAGGGATTTTATTGTTCTTCCATCTAACCACAGGCAGCCCAAGCTGTATTGTGGGCGCTGGCAGGTGATGGTGAATGGACAAGAGCAGCAGTAAGGGGGACTCGCGGAGCGCCGGCATTTGAAAAAATGACATATCGAAAAACCCCAGCCCCCCCTGGGGTTTCGGAGGTAGGTTAAAGGCCCTGCAGGGGGTCTTGCGCGATCCGTCGGCAGCCGCGCGATAAGTCCTTACTGCTGCTGTGTTTGGGTACCGCAAACGGAGGTTAAGATATCTTATAAATATACGATGCACGAATGTAAGAAGTTCGTTAACGACTTTTGCATAATTTGTCTAAGACCTAAAGTTATCGTACCTAAGCCAGAACCCTTTTGGTGTTGTGGTAAAAAAATGCAAATAGAAGACGACACGTCAGCACAGTGTTACGAATGTGGTAAGAATATTC